CGGTTCTGACACAGAAACTGATGGAGCTGGTAATATCGCCCTCGGCTTGTATAAAGAACATGACTTACGATCAAAGCATTGGTATCTGATTCGGCAACCTTCTTTCCTGCGTGGCCTGCACACATAATAAATACATGAATTAACCATTATTTTCTCCCGGATTTACACAGGAACAAAAGTTAGCTAATATCACCAAGAAAATAAAAAACTAAGCCAAATCTAGAACAACAGCAATAACAGCAAAAAGTAAATAAGCTTAAATGAATTGAACGGATACTTATGAGTATAAAATCGGAATACCTGGACTGCCAGATACAGGTTTTTGTAAAGGACTGTCGCCTTGAGTCTTGCACCTTTTAAACCGAACTAGAGACTGCTGCTGTGTTGTAAAGCATAAAACAATATCGCTGTATGTTTTAAAACCCGTAAGTCTCTCCAGCAAAGGTAAAATTGACTCCTTCGTGGCCTTTAGTCCGTAAAGGTCAATGGGGTGCTGTCTTTCGAACACATTGTCGTTGCAGCACCTGCAGACATGGACACTAGGCTTGGAGACCAAGCTTTCTGTCCGCCATATTGGGTGTCTGATTTAGTNTGGATCGTCAATCTCTGGACGATCGTTTTCAGGCACCAATCTTTTTTTCCACCATAGCAATCGTTAGTCTAAATATTCAAACCGAAGGATTGTGGAGACCAGATTGGGACAGAATCTCCACACATTTGGATTTGGGTTTCGGTGGTTGTGGAAATAGTCCTCGTGGTAGCACTCTTCGTTTGCGTTCGTCTTCCTTTGGCGGTTCTGACACAGAAACTGTTGGAGCTGGTAATATCGCCCTCGGCTTGTATAAAGAACATGACTTGCGATTCAAAGCACTGGTATCTGATTCGGCAACCGTCTTTATTGCGTGGCCTACATACATAATAAATACATGAATTAACCATTATTTTCTCCCGGAATTACAAAGGAAAAAAAGTTAGCTAATATCACCAAGAAATAAAAGAAACTATGCCAAATCTAGAACAACAGCAATAACAACAAAAAGTAAATAAATGAATGGATACTTATAAACTAGTACAAAATCGGATTACCTGGACTGCCAGATACAAATTTTTGTGAAGGACTGTCGCCTTGAGTCTTGCACGTTTAAAACCGAATTAGAGATTGCTGTTGTGTTGTAGGGCGTAAAAAAATATCGCTGAATTTTTTTAAACTTCATAATCTTCTCGTAGCAGGGACGGCAAACTTTTGATGACAATCCATCGTTTATGTCACATTTAAAACAGTAAGTCTCTCCAGCAAAGGTAAAACTGACTCCTTCGTGGCCTTAGGTCCGTAAAGGTCAATGGGGTGCTGTCTTTCGAACACATTGTCGTTGCAGCACCTGCAGACATGGACACTAGGCTTGGAGACCAAGCTTTCTGTCCGCCATATTGGGTGTCTGATTTAGTTCCGGTCATTTGCATCGTTTCTGAACAACCAATCAAAACCACCCCTTGAACGAATCTTTCGAGAGTCGCTCGTTTCGTCAAGCCAGCATGCGCAGTAAGGAACGAAGACTCCAGGTACGAGATTGCCTAACATGTAGTCGACTTTGACGCTAACTAACTTGCGCATGTGTTTGAAGCAAATTTTTTTTGTTCTTAAGAGAATGGCACCACAAGGATAGCATGAGATTTGCAAAACCATATATATATTTTGTCGTGTTAGAGCGATGAAATCACATACAAACGAACACACCGTTCAAAGTAGACCAACACTAAAGGACTTTGAGCGTTTTCGGAACGGGTCGCTGCAAGCCTTACGAGAGATCAATTTACGAGCGAACATTTTGAGTGAATC